CTTGGGCACCCAAAATCACTAGGCACTTTTGAAAATTTAGACCTATTCGTCCAAATTCTATAATTTCCCTAGGTACAGAGACTTGAAACAATCTGCATTAAAGGTGCCAGTGGTCTAGTGCCGGGGTCCCTAAACTGTGGTATGTGAGCTTGATGCTCCACAAATTCACTTCACAACAATTTTTTTAAATGATTTTCAAGTTTAGTAACTGCTGGTCTAGTGAATACGAAATACACCAGCTACCTCAGAGAGTAGAGATCAGTTTCCATCTCTGCCACATGCTTTTTTTGTACCTTTGTGAGACTGGGCCTGGATTTACAATCTTTTGATAGATTAATGGAAGTTAAGATAACATCCAGTTTATCCAAGTCTGGACTAATATCCACATCTTTTAAAATATCTCATTTACTGATAACCTGTTTCTCAAGCCATCAACTCCAGCTAGAAAATCCTCCACTTTGGAGCAGTTTATGAACCAGGATTTTCACTTGCCATTGAATCCAGCAACACTAATCTTGTCCATTAGTCTCCCAGACTCTCCAGACTAAAACTGACAAGGAACAGATGGAAACATGAGTACAGCATTAAATTAATTCATAAAAATGAGGGGAAGGCTTACTCTTAAAATAATCAGTATAAGTAAATTTCCACGTTGTTTGTTTGCTTTCCTAACTGATTACTATAATCAAAATGCAGAAAGTTGGTGGGGAGGGGGTTTAAAGCAAATAAGAGTGTACGCAAGTGCATATGATCAACAAAAACTTCATTATTAAAAGAAAAAAGGAACTGACAAGATGTGTATGTTAGAAACATATCATAACTGATTGCTAATGTAATCATACTTCTCAGTTCTCAACCTATCAAGGTCCAAATTTGGGGCACAATTTATGACACATACTCAAAATCAGACACAAAATAATGCATTAATGTATTAAAAGTTACACCTCAGTGTATACAACTCTTTCTATAATCTCATTTTCATGATTCTTAGAATCATAGACTATCAGGGTTGGAAGGAGGTATTCCAGTCCAACCCCCTGCTCAAAGCAGGGCCAATCCCCAACTAAATCATCCCAGCCAGGGCTTTGTCAAGCCTGACCTTAAAAACCCCTAAGGAAGGAGATTCCACCACCTCCCTAGGTAACCCGTTCCAGTGCTTCACCACCCTCCTAGTGAAAAAGTTTTTCCTAATATCCAACCTAAACCTCCCCCACTACAATTTGAGACCATTACTCCTTGTTCTGTCATCTGCTACCACTGAGAACAGCCTAGATCCATCCTGAAAGGGGGTTCCAAAGAGGTAGTTGAAAGCAGCTATCAAATCCCCCCTCATTCTTCTCTTCTGCAGACTAAACAATCCCAGTTCCTCCAGCCTCTCCTCATAAGGCATGTGCTCCAGCCCCCTAATCATTTTTGTTGCCCTCCGCTGGACTCTTTCAAATTTTTCCACATCCTTTTTGTAGTGTGGGGCCCAAAACTGGACATACTACTCCAGATGGGGCCTCACCAATGTCAAATACAGGGGGAATGATCATGTCCCTCAATCTGTTTGCAATGCCCCTACTTATACAGCCCAAAATGTTGTTAGCCTTCTTGGCAACAGGGCACACTGTTGACTCATATCCAGCTTCTCGTCCACTGTAACCCCTACATCATTTTCTGCAGAACTGCTGCCTAGCCATTCGGTCCCTAGTCTGTAGCAGTGCATGGGATTCTTCCGTCCTAAGTGCAGGACTCTGCACTTGTCCTTGTTGAACCTCATCAGATTTCTTTTGGCCCAATCCTCTAACTTGTCTAGGTCCCTCTGTATCCTATCCCTACCCTCCAGCCTATCTACCACTCCTCCCAGTTTAGTGTCCTCTGCAAACTTGCTGAGGGTGCAGGCCACACCATCCTCCAGATCATTAATAAAGATATCGAACAAAACCGGCCCCAGGACCGACCCTTGGGGCACTCCGCTTGATACCGCTCCGAACTAGACATGGAGCCATTGATCACTACCCACTGAGCCCGACGATCTAGCCAGCTTTCTGTCCACCTTATAGTCCATTCATCCAGCCCATACTACTTTAACTTGCTGGCAAGAATACTGTGGGAGACCATATCAAAAGCTTTGCTAAAGTCAAGGAATAAGGATTCTACTTTTGATGTAAATAATTTCACAATAAAAGTGAGGAGACATGTAATCTGTATGGATCATAGACACACAGAGATTGAAATGAGGGACATTTGAGAGATACGGTTATAAATTGGCTTGCCAGTATTAAATTTTTGTTAGTAAATGTCAATAAACATTGATTTCAATGTAATAGCAAATTTTTTTAAGTACATCAGAAGCAGGAAGCCTGCTAAACAACCAGTGGGATCACTGGACGATCGAGGTGCTAAAGGAGCACTCAAGGACGATAAGGCCATTGCAGAGAAACTAAATGAATTCTTTGCATCGGTCTTCACGGCTGAGGATGTGAGGGAGATTCCCAAACCTGAGCCATCCTTTTTAGGTGACAGATCTGAGGAACTGTCCCAGATTGAGGTATCATTAGAGGAGGTTTTGGAACAAATTGATAAATTAAACAGCAATAAGTCACCAGCTTCTATCCCAGATGACTGGAGGATAGCTAATGTGACACCAATTTTTAAAAAGGGCTCCAGAGGTGATCCTGGCAATTACAGGCCTGTAAGCCTGACTTCAGTACCAGGCAAACTGGTTAAAACTATAATAAAGAACAATATTGTCAGACATATAGGTGAACATAATTCGGTTTTAGTAAAGGGAAATCATGCCTCACCAATCTACTAGAATTCTTTGAGGGAGGTCAACAAACATGTGGTCCAAAAGGATCCAGTGGATGTAGTGTACTTAGATTTTCAGAAAGCCTTTGACAAGGTCCCTCATCAAAGGCTCTTATGCAAGGTAAGCTGCCATGGGATAAGAGGGAGGTGCTCTCATGGATTGGTAACTGGTTAAAAGATAGGAAACAAGGGGTAGGTATATAAATGGTCAGTTTTCAGAATGGAGAGAGGTAAATGGTGTCGTCCCCCAGGGGTCTGTTCTGGGACCAGACCTATTCAACATTTCATAAATGATATGGAAAAAGGGGTAAACAGTGAGGTGGCAAAATTTGCAGATAATACAAAATTACTAAAGATAGTTAAGACCCAGGCAGACTGCGAAGAGCTACAAAAGGATCTCTCAAAACTGGGTGACGGGGCAACAAAATGGCAGATGAAAGTTAAAGTAATGCACATTGGAAAACATAATCCCAACTATACATATAATATGATAGGGTCTAAATTAGCCATTACCAACTCAAGAAAGAGACCTTGGAGTCATTGTGGATAGTTCTCTGAAAACATCCACTCAATGTGCAGCGGCAGTCAAAAAAGCTAACAGAATGCTGGGAATAATTAAGAAAGGTATAGATAATAGGACAGAAAATATTGTATTGCCTCTATATAAATCCATGGCATGCCCACATCTTGAATACTGTGTGCAGACGTGGTCACCCCATCTCAAAAAAGATATATTGGAATTGGAAAAGGTTCAGAAAAGAACAAAAATGACTAGGGGTATGGAACGGCTTCCGTATGAGAAGAGATTAATAAGACTGGAACTTTTCAGCTTGGAAAAGAGACGGCTAAGGGGAGATATGATTGAGGTCTATAAAATCATGACTGGTGTAGAGAAAGTAGATAAGGAAGTGTTTTTTACTACTTCTCATAACACAAGAACGAGGGGTCACCAAATGAAATTAATAGGCAGCAGGTTTAAAACAAATAAAAGGAAGTATTTCTTTACACAACGCACAGTCAATCTGTGAAACTCCTTGCCAGAGGATGTTGTGAAAGCCAAGACTTTAACAGGGTTAAAAAAAAAAACTAGATAAATTCATGGCGGATAGGTCCATTAGCTAGGATAGGCAGGAATGGTGTCCCTAGCCTCTGTTTGCAGGAAGCTGGGAATGAGCGACTGGGGATGGATCACTTGATTACCTGTTCTGTTCATTCCCTCTGGGGCACCTGGCACTGGCCACTGTCGAAAGACAGGATACTGATCTAGATGGATCTTTGGTCTGACCCACTAGGGCCGTTCTTATGTTCTTAACGTACACACACAAACCAATGAAAAAATATTTCCATCCATAATAACTGATGTTTACAAATAGGGAAATCGTTGATTTAATATTTAATTTGTATATTTTGACACATGATGTTGACAATTTGTGCTTCAACTGTAATAAATATTTAACTTTTTGAATCTGAATGTTTACTGTTATTAAATAATTACTGTCAAACACTCCCTATTGTTTGTCCCCTCCCTAATTTCCCATATCTGTGATCATTTACATTGATAAAAAACAGGGGGAACTGCTTAAAAATAAACATCGATCTCTGATAAAAATTATTTTAAAAAACAATCCATTTCTGCCAAGCCTACACATAAATCTCATCCTCCCCTTACCACTGCTCTTCCTCTCACCCTGTGTCACTGCCATGCCGTCCCTTCTTGCGTTATGACTGGCCAATAGCACAACTCAGCACGGCAGTGCCCTTCCCTGCCGGCCCCGCTTGCTCTGCCGAGCCCGCCCGGCGCTAGATACAAACTCCTAATGTCCAAAAACCGGGCTACAGGCGCGCATCGGCGGGGAGCAGGGCTCTGAGCTGCACCCCGCCCTGTAGCCAGGGTGGCGCGGAGTGGGGTGCGCAGGGGCCGGGCGGGAGGGGGGTCCTGTGCCACACACGTGGCCAGTGGCCGTGAGGGCTGCGCAGGACGGGAGCCGGGCTTCGCGGTGGTCTAGGGGTCTGCAACGCGTGGCGTGGGCGCCCCGGGCTGGCCCCACGCAGGGCAGGCTCCGCCGGACGCGGCTCGGGCAGGGGCAGGGGCGGGTGGGTGTGTTTGCGGGGAAGCCCTCCCAGCGCGGGGAGGGGCAGCGGGCGGGGACGCGTGCAGGCGGGAAGGGCGGCTGGGGGCTGCCGGAGGACCCGGCCCCGCTCGGTACCTGCGCAGGCAGCGCTCGCAGACGCCGCCCAGTCGCTGCTTGGTGACGGTGCAGGCGAAGGGTTCGGCCCGGTACAGCAGCTCGCCGGGCCGCGCCCGCTTCAGAGCGCGGAGGCCGCTGCCCCTGCCCGGGCTGGGGAACTTCTCCAGCCTCCCTGGCTCCATGTCCCGCGCCGCAACCCCTTTCGGCTCCCACGTGGTCCGGCCCCGGTAGCCGCCGCAGCCATCTTTAGTGAGGGCAGAGACCCGCTCACCCCATGCCATCACCTGCCTCCCTCCTGGGGCCTAGCAGCGAGAAAAGCCCCGCCCTGCGGCGGGTTGGCAATGAGGGCCGAGGGCGAGGAGAGCCCCAGCCCGCTGCAAGGCTGCCCCTGCCTGAGGGGGAGGCCTGGACTCTTCCCGGCCCCAGGGATGAAAGGAAGGGCCAGGTCTCCCTGCGCCCCAGGCAGCTAGCACGGGGCTGGTGTCCCTGTCCACGTCCCCCACTGCCCTGACAGAAAGCCCCCGAGGGCTAGGGTGCAGGGAGTGAGCATCCCTGCGCTGTGGTACCTGTACCTAGTGGCAGGGTTACCACCTGGCTGGTATTTGACCAGGGTGGCCGTTTTTTATGGATTTGCCAGTTGCCAGAAAAATAAACTGCTGGATTGTTGTTGATTTTTAACCTAGGGTTAAAGATTTGCATTATTATCACAATACACCGGGATATCTAATGTTAAAAGTGTCTGTGTCTCCAGCTATTTCCACTTCCCCAGTTGAAGTGATAATAGATCAAAACTGTTGAAAATACAACAGCTGCCTGCCCACCAACATGCAAGTGCCCCGTGCCTGGGGGGTGGGAGGGTTGAGTCACATGAGAGTGAGAGGACATGTGATGTTATCAATCTTACCTATGTGTTATCTGTCTACAGGGCTGGCCTTATTGATGGGCCACCCAAGTGACCAACCAGGGCACCATGGTCAGAGGGATGCCATGCAGGAGTGCCGAGCTGCACGCTGCTGGCTGGCAGAGGAACACCACAAACTTGCAGAGGCAATGCAGGGGTGGGAGGGCAGATTTCTCCCTGCTTCCCCATGGAGGAATAGGGGGGGGGGGTTGCCAGTGGTGATGGACAGATACTGCTCACACACACCCAACATTCCTCTGTGTCCCTCCCCACCAGGAGGACTGTGAGGGGGGGAGCGAGGAACAATACCAAGAGGTCTGTGCACCCAGGTAACTTTCCTCAGCTGGGCTGTGCTATGAGGCGAGCATCAGGAGCTGCTGCTCTCTGCCCTTCCCTTATGCAGCCTAGTTAGGGAAAGTGAGATGGATGAAGGCAGGGCCAGCGGTCGCCTAGGGCGCTACAATTTGGGGGGCGGCGACCGAGGCAGTATTTCAGTGGGGGGACCTTCCGCCGCCTATGGGGGGGGGGGGGGAGGCATTTCGGGGCAGGACCTTCCGCTGCCTAGGGCGGCAGTGGCACTCCTGAATGAAGGGAGCCCTGACATTGCTCCTCGCTCCCCCCCCTCACAGTCCCCTATGGAGACATGAAGGAGCAGTGTTCGGGGGGGGGGGGGAGCAAGCGGCAGTTCCAGCCACTTTGTGCATCTAGGTCAATTTTCCCATGTGGGCACAGGAGGGGAGTGTAAAGATTCGGGGCACGGGAGGGGGTGTAGGGATTAGGAGTGAAGGGGACACAGTGCAGCACAAAGGGTGGCAATATACCATATATCATGCCACCCTTCTCTGCTGCTGCTGGCAACAACACTGCCTTCAGAGCTAGGGGCCCAGCCAGCAGCCACCACTCTCTAGCCGCCCAGCCAGTGCTTAATTTCTGCCATTTGTATATTGCTGTGGCTAAGCCCCAGCACCTTTCAATACAAATGAAGCACTGGTGGGAGGCCTTTGGGGGGGAACCCATGGGGGCCAAGGGCACCAAAATACAAGTTCACACAGGGTACCATTTTCCCTAAGACCAGCCCTGTCTCTCTAGATACTGTAAGTGGCTGTTGAAGGGGCGGGCCAGTTGCAGAGCTCACTTGTGGTTGGGGTTGTGGCAGGCTTGCCCTATGGGGGATGTTGCTGGTTTTTTTGCATTTCAAAAGGTGGTTACCCTAACCCACAGGGGAACTGAGACTATAGAACCAGTTGGACAGTGATGGTGGCAGGTATTTGCCATCAGCACCTGCTGCCCAGCAGCACCTCTGGGCCTGGCCTAGGGGCAGTACTTCTCAGGTTCATCTCAGCAGATGGAAGGCCTCACCGGGGAGGAACCAGTGCTGGGTTTCACTGACTGAGGAAATGGGACCTATACGGACAGGCCTTCAGTCCATCACAGATCTCCAGAGCCTGCAACTAGTCAGTCAGGAGACAAAATGTGGGGCTCATTGGTAGGGCTGGCCACAGTATTGGGGGAACCTGCTCTCCTCATGTTTGATCTATACAGCAGTTGTAGCTACCCCCCCCCCCAAAGTATTTTTCCTGCTGATCATCTGATACCGGTCTTGAATAGGGACACAGATCTGGCCCAGTAATCTACCTTTACCTTGTATTTCCTCCAGAGGGCCCTGCAGAGTTGATGCTGTCGCCTCTCATTGTTCTCAGATAAAAAACTCTTTTCTTGCCTTGAAAAGCAGTACCACCCATGTGCTGCTCACATGTGAATATCTTTCACCTCTTTCAGGTAATCTTGCACTATATGGGTTGAATGGGTTTGGAGCTGGCATAGCTGTAATTGGCTAGCCCTAGATTCAGGGCTAACCAACATCCCCATCTCTTGCTGGCCATTTCAGTGGCCTCTCTTATAGGTTATTAATTAGCATAACAAAAAATTCCTATCTGTTTTGCATATAATTTTATTCTCCCTTTTTTCCCTCTGTTACATTGAGCATTCTGACCACACTCTGCCTTATTTGCTCAGAAGCCCACCACATTATTCCCAGCCACCCTAACCTAAATGCTAGTGAGGCAATTGAATTCCCTTTTCCTCTTCTGAGTTCCTATTTAACTCTTAAATTAATTCTAATAATTTGCACTTCTAGAGCATCTCCAGGTGCTTTCACAAATATTAATGAATTGGCCTCATGTACTTTTCTTTCTCTCCATTCATTGCATAGGGACCCTAGGCACCTAACATGAGAGTGATAGACCTCAGTGTTTCTCTAGGGGCCTAAAGTTAGCTGTTGAGATGCTGAGCATCAACACTTAAGTCCCTTTGTGGATCCAGGCTGTAGTATCTGGAAGATCTGAGGCAGTTGGGAAGGTGGGGCAGGGGAGGAGAGTGTTTACTGGCCCCTTCAGATGGAAAAGCCTATAGAGATGTGCCTTAATTCTTGCCTCTCAGTCACTCACAGTACATCTGGCATACAAGTAAGTACCTTGTCAGAAAAAAAAATAGGTCAGTGTACCACAGCATTAGATGGGGGGAAATGATTAGACATTTCATAATGGTACAGAGCTTTTTTTGTTTTTAAACTCCATAAACACATTGCAATACGAGAAAACAGAAGTCTAAACCTGAGTTTGGGACTCCATTATTCTAGAAACTATACAAATCCATTGTAAGAGATACACAGGTATTGAACTTTGAGGCAGAATGTAATATTTTAACAAACATGGAATGACTGGGTCTGACAATTGTCCACAGTCAGGTTCATCTAGAAAGATGATTGTGTGTGTGTGTTGCACTCACCTGAAATCCAGGGCCGCCCAGAGGATTCAAGGGGCCTGTGGCAAAGCAATTTTGGGGGCCCCTTACATAAAAAAAGTTGCAATACTGTAGAATACTATATTCTCGTGGGGGCCCCTGTAAGGCCCAGGGCCTGGGACAAATTGCCCCACTTGCCCCCTGGCCGGCACTGCTGAAATCTCCCAAAGCAGGCCATTTTATTTACAAGTTCAGTTCCTGATCCTTTCGGGGCTATCATAGTGATCTGGTGAACATATGTTTAGATTAAAATAGAGGACAAGAGATTGTGTGGGTGTTGGACAGTTTCCATGGGGAAGGCAACTCCTGTATAATGATGGCAGTGAAAGCCACCAATTAGCAGTTTGGGGTTTTGCAGAGCAATGGTAGCCAGTTAGAACATTCAATTGAAGTAGTCAAGTAAATGGGGAAGGAGAAGCAGGGAGCCAGAAGGACAAAGTAATGGCCCATGAGAAAGGGCCAAAGCCTGTGAGATGCAGAGTGCTCCTGTGCGGTTCTGAGTGTTGTCTGTTTACAGTAAGTAATGGGAGTTGGCTGAGCTCACTCATCTCTTCGGTCCCTCTTTCCTCAGTGGTTCCCCTCAGTGTACCAGTAGGGGGAATCCACATGTTGTTCTATAGCAAATGAGAGTAGTGTGCTTCTGCTGAAACAATCCTAACACACAGACAAAACTTCTGGTCAATTGCTTTTTCATTTCTAACACCTTTTTGTTTGCAGTAACAGTTTAGTATTTTCATCTTCAATTACTTAACTTTCAACTGCAATATGCCGTTATAAGAAATCCATTGTATTTGCATTCAGTAATCAGACACTCCTATTTGATCACATACCAAAAAAGTATTAATTATGGCTGTAGTACATAAATCATGAAATTGGTCATGATGATAGGACATTCTTTAGCACTTTCTCTCAGGATAAAAATGAGATGGAAACAAAATTACCTGTGAGGTCACCTAGCCATTCTCTCTTGGCAGCTGCAGGATTATGCTCCACAGTATTTTTTTTTAAATAATAGTCTTAAAATGACTGAAGCAATGTGACTTTGAAATAGTATTAGTAACTATGACTAATATATATTTACATAATTCAGACAAGATATTATGTAGGACTGAATGAGAAGGAACTAAAGAATCATCCATTAATCCACATCCAGCCCACAGTAACTTTGAACAAAGTAATTACCATCATAAAAATATAAAGACAGGCCCTATTGGGTCAGACCAATGGTCCATCTAGCCAAGAATCCAGTCCTCTGATAATGGACAGTGCCAGATGCTTTGGAAGGAATGAACAGAACAGGGCAATTTTGAGTGATCTATCCTGGTCATCCAATCTTAGCTTCTGACAATCAGAGGTTTAGGGACACAATCCCATGCTCCATGTGTCCCTAACTATCTTGGCTAATAGTCAGATGCACCTATTCTCCCTAAACTTATCTAATTCTTTTTTGAAAGCAGTTATACTTTTGGCCTTCACAACATCCCCAAGCAGTGAGTTCCATAGGTTGACTGTGCATTGAGAGAGGTACATCCTTTTGTTTGTTTTAAACTTGATGCCTATTAAGTTCATAGGATGGCCCTGGTTCTTTGTTATGTATCCCTTCAAATAACATATTTCCCGTTCCCTTTCTCCATAACATTCATGATTTTATAG